ACTTTTCTTAAAAATTCTAAATATGCACTTTTTTGTAAAAATTTTTGAATACGAATAATTTTAGAAAAATTATTATAGAGCAACACAAGCAACTTTAATTTAAAGAATTTTCTTCTCCAATCGTAAATAACATATATTCGTAGTAAAAAAACGACCCCTATAAAGTACCCCCAGATGTTCCGACTATGCCTAAAATGTAATTCACTCATTATTAGTTATTAAGTTTAAAATTTAGTGTTTTCCTCTTTATCCGTTCACAAGTTATTGAGTATACAGACACACACATACATCATCGCGAAAATAGTCAAAACGGATTTAGGGAACCCCAAAACGTAAAAATCCGTCAAAAAAATCATGATTCCTATACTTTCCTTATCTGTATACAGACAGGAAAGTAAAAAATGTATTCTGTCAATAAATTAATTCCTTTTGAAATAAAATACATTCAAAACCCTAATTAAAACGTGTATGACCCACTATAATAAAATACAAACAATTATTTTATTATGTATTAAAAAATTCTGGTGAAATAGAGACAATTCTGGACCACCTTGGAAGTATCTTCTATCAGATCAGATATTTGATGAACTTTGTCAAAAATGGCATTTTAAAATTAATAATAATTGATGGAACGACACTTTCGATAAACGTAAATGCAATTTGTTTAATTTTACACAAGATGGCTTAGTTGGCCTAGTCAAAGCACAATGGCTAATGGGTGGAATGTCAACTGACTGCACGTGATTTTTAATGATTGCCAGTGATAGACCTTTTTATCACATTTTTTTTTTGTGCGCATGCGTCAGTACCAGTCCTCTTTTTCGTACGGTTTTTTTGTAAACAAGCATGTTAAAATATCCACGTGAAAAAAATCATAATCGATAAATATTAATTTTAAGTGTATTCGTTTAAAAAATGGGATAAAAAAGTAAAGTAATAAGTGTCTTAATTGAAAAATCAATTAATTTGTTATCTTTACGGAAAGGAAAAACTAAACGGTATTGTTATGAGTATGTAAAAGTGACACACGGTATAAATTATTATTTTATAAAAAGACTTGCCTGCAATATCGTAAAAAAACTACCAACTCATTAGGCAAAATCCATATTAAAACATGTTCAAAATGAGCATTATAAGTGAAAAAATGTGGTCGAAGTGACAAAGGTTTTCGATCAATTGATGGATGATGTTACTAAAGCTATATTTGTTAACTTCATTTTTATGGAGAAATTGGTTCAACAGAATAAAATCATTGTCTGGTATTACACAATATTTTTTAATATTAAATACTACTTCGGTATACATAGTAATATTATTAAAAATGTATGTTGATCCTTAAAATTTTAAATAATTTTTAAATCTTATTAATTATACCCTGCGAGGGAATTCCGAACGACTGCGACGATTTCTTAGCGATTGCCGCTGATTTTGATGGAACTGCGGCGATTTTCAATGGGATTTCGGACATTTTGTACATGTATTGCGGGAGTGATTCGCTCCTATTTCTATATAATTTCCTTTAATAATAGTTAAACAAGTTGTCAATTTCTTTTTTATTCAATGTATTGAGAAGTAAAATCTTTTTATATAAAAAATATAATTTATCCTCTTCTAATAAATTGTCATATATTTAGGTTACATTATAGCATTTTATAAATATCTATACAAAAAAAGTTGAAAGGCTTGAAGAGCATGAAATTGCAGCTTATTAACGTAGATGGGATGTTTTTGTGCTAGCTGGGAAGGGTTTTAATCGAGTTTTATACTGTTCCAAGAGCACGTACCCTAGACAAAAGCAAGGTTAGCTTGTGATTTAAACGGTTTAGTTTTAATGCGGCTGTGATAAATGCCGCTCGGTTTTAATGTAAACCTACCCTAAAATTTCCGTGTCGTATCAGTCGTTTGTGTTTTGTTTTATTTAACACAATTCAAAAAAATAAAAATTATAGTTCGAATAAGATTTTAGACAGTGGCGTAAAATGTAAAGAGGTTACTCATGCCGTACGCTACTGGCAAACTTTATTTATCTAGTTTTTTTGGTAACACCAAAAATGTTTGCCGAATTAAATAAAATTATATTGAGTAATAAAAAAAAATTATAGCCATTAAATTTTCTACGAATTTTAAATTTTAACACCCTGTATTTCCGAAACGGGAAACATTTTACCTAAACATGTTTCGTTTAATGTTATTTTTAATCAGACAATGTTCAGTTTTCTATGTCCCATTTTTTACCTGGAGCAACTGAATTGTGATAGTATTATATGTCAGTTGGCCAGAAAAGAGGGATGTAATAAATTTCGGTGGTGGTGACCAGCTGTCTCAGGCCCCCTAGCCCTCCAGGCTTCCTCCAGATAATAATGCTGGCTACGCCAATGGATAATACCAAGTCAAGAAAAAAGTAAAATAATGTTTGTCTTGTGTATTTTTTGGAATGTTTTTTGTTTAGTTGTTTTATTTTTGTGTTGTTTTTTTTTGTATATTTAGAAATGTTTACATTTTTTTTTTTAATTTTTTCTTCTAGTTTTAACAATAAATATTATTGACAGCATGTTTCACTTGTTAAAAAAGCTGACAACTAATAGCAATGAAGGGGACCCCTAAATCTCCAGCGCCCAGGGCCTCATCTTAGGTTAAACCGGCACTGCTCTCACTCTTTCTCTATCTATTACTCTCTCACTCCTTCCCCACTCTGGTTTCTACTTAAAAAACATACACTTTTTTATTTGCATGCTACTTCCTGAGCTTTTCAATTAATTAAGTTCAATGATTTAAAAATATAAAAAAAATGTTTTTGTCAGATTAGGCGAATCCCTCTAGAAAATCGTCAGCTTTTTTTGGTTCACTTAACACCCCCTTAGAAAATCTGACACGCTGAGTATGTCCATGCAATAGTATTTTTTTACATATTTAAAAATCTATAGCCGCTTCCCCCACCGATTAAAAGGTATATATGACATTTTTTTCTTCTTATCATCTAAGCTTTGCAACCCAATAGGTCTCTATGATGCTCGAGTAAATCCCCATTTAGCATCGTGGGCTCCCCTACTATAAGGATATACAAATATTTTAAATGCATTTATTTGCCACAAAACTACCAAAAAATTTAAATTGTACTAAAATAAAATAGAAACAAAATAGTTTTCATTTTATTACTAAGTATAACAAATTAAGATATAGTTTACCACAAGGCTCCCACATAATGTTTAATTCCACCAAATAGCTGATGAAGGCTCAAAAACGGTACCAAAAATGTTCACAAAAAATTTCAGCCCAAAACTTGTTATCTTGTTAACAAAACTTGAATAGAACAATTATTATTCCATGCTTTTCTGAGGATTTTCATAACATTTTTTACTTTCAATTTTATATAATATTGGGTATAAGGAAACATTATTTGACATTTGTCAGGAAATATAATATTAAAAGTTTCTGGATGAAAAATATATTAAAACGTGTGCTCAATATACACCTCGATACACAGGGTATGTTGAAAATAGAAAAATATGAAAGTAGAAAATCATAAATTTGTTCATATCGAAATTTTAGATTGTTAAAAACAAACAACTGTCTTTAATAACCTTTCTTTATATGGGCTTTAGTTTATTTGCAAATTGTGCCTAAATATTGTCAAAAATTCTTTTTTCCAATAGTGCAAATTTCTAAGAAATTAATAGTTCGAGAAAAAAAGAATAAGAACAAGATGTTTATTTTTCAAAGATCCACAAGTTAGCTTAAAAATGTCATTTCAATTACTTCTATTTTTAGAACATCCTGTATATTGAGCACATAATATTTCAAATAGGTCAAAGTTATTTACTTTTCATGCACAAACTTTTATTTATTTAAACTTTTCCGCGAGAGGTGAATGGACAAATTTTTTTATTACTCCATTTTAAACTTTACCACTTATAAAATACTTTAGCAAAATTTTGGCGTTCAGATATCACTGGAAGCCGAAGGAAATAATTGTTAAAGTTGAAAATGTCCTCTATATCCCGTGACGTGTACCAATAAATCCAGAGAATTTTAATTTTGTTGCCAAATGTCTACTTTTATTTTTCTATTAATCCCATCTCTGTGTATATTGTAGGAAGAGTGAAATAGAAAAATAAATAGGTGTCTGTTCTTTATTTTAACAATTGTGGACAATGCATGAAGTGGTGTTGTAACAAAATAAAAAGGATAGCCTGAACTAAAATTTAATATTATATTTTAAATTTTTTGTTGTCAATGTGTATTTTAAATAAATAATAAGCAACCTAAAATAAAATATATAATAATAACCAGATTTCATTGTTTTTGGATTTTCATATATTAAGGTGGGAAAGAGGGAAAGGGAAGTAATGGGAAAATGGAGATAGGGGAGGGAAGAAAGGATGGTGAGAGTTTGTATGGGGGTATCAATTTTTTAAAGGTATGATCTTGAAAATTGGAATTGTGGTTATTCATCATAAATAGACATGTTTCATATAATCAAAGAAGATAAATCAGGATAACAAGAAACAATAATTCAGTCCTGATGAGTGTAGAATTTCGACAGAAACAAGTCCAAGAAAACAGTTTTTGGCCCCAAAGAAAATTATTTGGCAAATTTAATTTTAAACTGGGTCAGTATTTTTTGTTGACTACTTAACAAAGTAAAGAGTAAGAATAATTAGAAAACCCACAACTTACCCATATCATATCAATGTAAAATATAAAAAAACTTACAAAAGAAGAGTGAATTTGTGAGATATAGGACATGATTACAAGACGAACACTAGTAGGACATCACTTGGCAGAATGAATCACTGATAATCACCACCACCTGTGTCTGTGGCATGTTAATATTATAGGAATATGGAAATGGTTTCATATGCTTAACTTATTTATTCTTTATTTATTGATAGATAATTATATATTTAAAGTCTGAAATAATAGTTATGACGTAGCGGTGTTCTTCTTATTGTAATCAGATTCTACAAATTGTGTATGATGCATGGTGTCAATTTACTTACCTTTGCCTTAATAATTCAGGAGAACCATTAATTTTCTTTGAACTTGGTAAAATTTCTTGTTTAATACTAGATACTACCTCTAAGGATCCATCTATTTTACGAATTTTTATTTTGATATTAGTTTCGTTGTCTTGCTGGTTATCCAGTGCAACAAGATTCTCATTACTTCGTTTTCTAACACCATTTAAGTCTATTTCTTGTAGTATCCACTTTAGTTCTGATCGTTCACTTATTAATTGCTTAACTAACACTTCTTTTCGATTGGGAATATTACCCAAATCCTTAAGGCGACTTTTTATTAAATTATATGGTGTATCTGGTAATAATATCACAATTTCTCTGGCATCATTTTCTATATTTTGCTCGTAATTTTCTTCACTTTGATCCCTGAGTTTAAAAAAGTAACTTATTGATAACGGAATTCTTAAGTGACTGTGATCTATTGGAATCTTTCGTATGAAGTTTACTATATCTTCCTTGTTGCCAATCCAAGGCAACAGCCTTTGAATGTTCTCCGCATCGTCCGATAACCGTTCCATCATATTTCTTTATGTCGTTCACTAAAATGATGCACTTTTTTGGTAATTTTTTCTAAACTTTTTATATCAAGAAATATCAAACGTATGATCACAATCACATCCAAACAAATGAAAAAAAAAACTTGTGTCTTTTGTCAATATGTCAAAATTAGCGGTTGACAAGTGTGCCAATCGTAGAAATCGAAATTAAAAAGTTCTTTCGTTCGCTGTCAGTTGAGTGCAATCACAGAACACTTACTCAGTGCAATGTCCACCAGTGTAAATTAAACCAGTTACACCCACGTTACACCACATATGCCGCGTTTGAGAATCCACAGCGATTGCATTTTTTACATCTCGAGCGTTTTTTATCCACATCGGACACATCTACTACATCTACATCTGCGTTTGTTTATCCCAGATGTACCTGTTCAGATTACATTTTTTACATCTCAATTTGAAATGAGATGTGAATGAGATGTTCGTTCCATGCCAGAAAGTAAGTGTTTTGTGAAGTCTTGTTTGTCAATTTATCCTTTGTTTATGCTAGCATGAATATAAAAGTGTTTAATTTTTGTTTATATTTCAAATTTAGGTTGATTTGTAGTCTCAAAAGTCAAATTTAATAAGTATAAACTTCTAACTTGTCATTGACATTTTATCACGTGACCAAATAAAGTCGAGAGGGTTTGTTTATTATTGCCACGTTTGAGAATCCACATCGGTTGCATTTTTTACATCTCGAGCGTTTTTTTATCCACATCGGACACATCTACTACATCTACATCTGCGTTTGTTTATCCCAGATGTACCTGTTCAGATACATTTTTTACATCTCAATTTGAAATGAGAGGTTTGTTCTGGTTCTCAAAATGAAAACTGTTTTGAAACTGCGCCGGACCGTATGCGTAAAGGCAAAAATCCCCGACTGTTTGAAATTCTTGGAAAACCAGAACACGTCATGAAGGTGTTTTGTTTATTGTTTATTATAATAATGAAGTTCCTTTAGAAAGCTCAGCTTCAAATAACATTTGCATGTATATGTTTATCATTATCATCACATTTCAATGGAATAAATAAAAACAGAATATTAAAAAATTAATAATTCTAAAATTGCTTTAATTTACAAATAAAACAAGAACAAGAGACATTCGTCCACATATAAATAAACAATTTGGGATTGTATACGTTTCGTATGGTCTAAAAAGCCAATACAATATTCATAACACTTCAAAAACGCATGCGCGGTCAAAACAGTCCGAGTCGATCCACACTCCCAAGCATGAACACTTTTTGACTGTTTACAACAATCACGGATTATTTCGGATACGAAACCAGAACACTGGACTGAGAGATCCGAAGTAGTCCCAGAAAAACCAGAACACTTTTTATCTACTGCGCATGAGCCCGACAGTTGTGGATCGTTATTTCTCAAAACCAGAACAGACCTGAGATGTGAATGAGATGTTCGTTCCATGCCAGAAAGTAAGTGTTTTGTGAAGTCTTGTTTGTCAATTTATCCTTTGTTTATGCTCTCATGAATATAAAAGTGTTTTTCTACACCCGTATTATAATAATGCACTTATATGCCCATAATCCGTTTCATAATGATACCCATTATGATACAGATTTTTCATTACGATACAGATTTTTAATCAATAGAAACCTACAATTTTTCAATCAAGCATGCTGTTTGACGTTTGTCCTAGGTTCCTATGTAATTATTTTAGTTGTCAAAACGTATTAAATTTTCGTAGGTAGCTAAACTTCGATAATTATAATATTAAAATGTCTGATATTAGCGATATAGAAGACTCCTCCACACATATCGGAGAAAGCAGAAAATACAGTACAAAATATTTTACCGCAAAAATCTAGGGAAATACCAATACCTGAAGTAATACCATTAATTACAATTTTGTAGAATTTTTTATAGAAATACGAGTAATTACTGTTATTGTGTTCAATACCAATATAAATATAATATTTATAGGTCTTGATTATTTATCGGGTGTAGAAAAAATAGCGTATGCAACTCTCATGTAATGGTTATTAAAACACTCGCATAAACCATACGAAACTCGCCTTTGGCTCGTTTCGTATCCCGGTTAATGCTCGTGTATTAATAACCATCATTACATGATCGTTGCATAATATACTATTAATTTTTGTTTATATTTCAAATTTAGGTTGATTTGTAGTCTCAAAAGTCAAATTTAATAAGTATAAACTTCTAACTTGTCATTGACATTTTATCACGTGACCAAATAAAGTCGAGAGCGTTTGTTTATTATTGCCACGTTTGAGAATCCACCACATACTTTTAAGTATGTGGAATCCACATCGGATGCATTTTTTACATCTCGAACGTTTTTTTATCCACATCGGACACATCTACTCACATACTTGATTTTCTTTTACTATACGGAGAATGGTCGCACTGAGAAGCTTTCTGGGGGTCGATTCTCGACTTGTAGGAACCTTTTCCTATAGGAATTTGTGACACTTTCCTATATGTAGGAAAATGTCATAAATTTTCGATGTACATAAAATGTCAAAAATTCCTATTAGGCATTCCAAACAAATGAATTACCAGTGGGCAGGTTTGATATATCTAAGGGTGGCGACACATGGTGTATTCTATCTACTTTACGTAAAATCATGAATAATGGATTACATTTAAATATTTTATGTCAAACACAATAAAAATAATATTTAAAAAACCCACCTATACATTTCTTCATAAATTGGCAGGCTTGGCGAGTACTACTTCGAATAAAAATAGCGTCCAAGTTGCAAGACTATGTCGCTACCCCCCTTAAATACACAAGAATTTCCCACTGGCACCTATTGTTTGACAGGTCGTTGGAATGCCTAATTAGGCATTCCAAACAAATGAATTACCAGTGGGCAGGTTTGGTATATCTAAGGGTGGCGACATATGGTGTATTCTATCTATTTTACGTAAAATCATGAATAATGGATTACATTTAAATATTTTATGTCAAACACAATAAAAATCATATTTAAAAACCCACCTATACATTTCTTTATAAATTGGCAGGCTTGGCGAGTACTACTTCGAATAAAAATAGCGTCCAAGTTGCAAGACTATGTCGCTACCCCCTTAAATATACAAGAATTTCCCACTGGCACCTATTGTTTGACAGGTCGTTGGAATGCCTAATAGGAAAATATTCCTACGAGTCGAGAATCGACCCCCTGGGGGTTAATTTTTGAATCATTCGCCACCCTGACGTATGCGAAAACGTATACTTTTACCTAAACTGTATTTTTGACTTACTCGATTCGTTTTCGCATGCGAATAGGCATTTAATAGGTTTTGCAATGACATGACGTTTATTCATCTCGGTAAAGCAGTTTCATACTAGGTTTCTATTGGTAGATCATCGAATTTTGCTGAAATAATCTACAACTCTTCGTTAGGTTGATCTGTTCGTAAAATATTTATCGAAGAGCATTCAAAAATATACTTTCCTTGATTCATGCGATAAATGTCATATGCCAATTGACGCATACGACTTTTAGCGAATGGTTTCAAAAATTAACCCCCTGAGTGCCTTTTAAAAGGAAATAAAGAAATAGAAAACTCCGCCATTTTGATCCCTTATTACGTGTTGCCTACATCTTGGCGCAATATTTTTATTAGGTGCGTTTTAATCATCCGCTTCTGCTTCGGAATTGTCGGTTTTCTTGTTTTAATCTGACAGGTTAAAACGACTACCTATCTGATGCTTGGTCCTACAAAGTTCATCTTCAGTACACCTGCTTATGTGACATCTATCTTGATGTCAAGTTTGATTGAACACCCGTTTCTTGCCTATTACTCTTATACTTAACCAGAACTAGCTTAGACTCGAACGCATATGTCTAATTCGGCCAAAACACAGCCTTGGTACACAAATATCTATTTTACCGCTGGTTTCATTACAAAAAACTGGAGTAAAGGATAAAATTATCTCTTGTCCAGTACACTCGTATACACTTGAGTATTAGCCTATATTATTTTTGATTGAAGACGTATACATTTAAAAATGTCGTTTACTTAAAAATAAACATTTAATTTTGATATTTTATTTAACTCAATCAAAACATTAAATTATTTTTTTCCATTTATATATGGCTTATACCGGACCTGTATGTACTGGACAGTGTTGCCGTCAGTTGCCGCCACATATTCATTAGTGACATACGTTTTATAAATTCATCGTGTTACATATTTTTGACATAAAGAGATAGAAATTTAAAGTGACGTCTTGTATTACTTCGAATGAAAAAATCGATAATACCAAAGAGCTTGAAATATATTTCAAGCTCTTTGGATAATACAATTTTCTAACCTAAAAAAAATCGTGATTACATGTCAAACGAAATTGAACTTGGCCTTAACCAAGCATTGCGTTCGGTCTGCCAAGTTCCTTTAACTCCTTTAAAACTTTTAACTCCAAACGACCCTTTTAGCGTTCGGTTTAGTCCGATTAGTGACAGTTTAACACGCTTAAATGTCATTTAAAAGCACCCTAAAATTTGTCCCGCTCCAGCCCCTGTCTATCCGAACTCGCCTAAAAGAATCCAAATATATGACGTGTATTTATTTATGTTTTTGGGTAGTCTCATTTTTACGTCTGATTTTTGCTGCGTTTGAGAATCCACATCGGATGCATTTTTTACATCTCGAGCGTTTTTTTATCCACATCGGACACATCTGTCCCATTACATTTACGTATACTGAATCACGTGATCAAAGATTTTTTACATCTCAGATGCATCCGATGTGGATTCTCAAACGCAGCATTAAGTGATTTTTTGTTGGCTTTGGCTTTTGGTTTCTGTTTATAGTTTCGTCTTAGTTATTTACAAAATTGTGATGTTTTGCTATTCTATTTCCTACTGTGTTTTGCAATAATATTGGTGCTACGTTGAAAACTTCATTGATTCATCATGCATCATAAAAAGACAAATGGGTACAACAACTAATTGATAATCAATGTATCACTGGGGGTCGATTCTCGACTTTTTTCCTATAGGAATTTGGTTGATTTTCCTATAGGAAAGTAGGTTACGTATTCTGGAGTCAAGTTGTAGGAATATTTTGCTAAGCAGTTATAGGAAATGATTTCCCATGCTCATGAGACA